ACACCCCTGATCTTCTTGTTGGAAAGATGTACACCTAGCCTTCTCGGACAAGGGCGAAAAACTCGAAGATCCCTTTGTGGTCTAAAATTGATAAGAGTGGGCTGCGGCCGCCACTCGGGCAAAATTCAAAATTTCCTACCAACTGAAAACGTTTATTGTGTCCCGCGCGCTCATATGACTTTATGCAGTTGCGAGCGCCGTAAAACACTTACCAAAAAATAAAAAAATAAAAAAATAATGAAATATGCAGTGCAAGCTGCGGATTTCATGCGCTAAAACACCACCTGACAAGATCTTTCGCTGTCTGTAGCCGGGTACCCATTCTCGTCTGGGTGAAGTGAGGAACTTTTGTGTAAAGTGCCTTTCCCAAGGACACAAACTCATACCTCTGTCAAGATTCGAACCCTCGAACTTACCGTAGAGAGCGTCTGATAGTCTAACCACTAGACCACCGACTGCGCTTTTTTTTTTTCATCTATGGGGCAGCAGAAGCCCATTGTGGGTTTGTTGAGAGAAGGGTCATGGGAGTAAATTACTTATTAGCCCAGTGCATACCAACAGGGGGCTGCACCTCAATACATGTAGTATTATCCATACTTTGATGTACGTGCGGCAAGCCCAACTTGCTGTGTCACTGACTGTCTATCGTTTCTGCTTCCTTCGCTCCTTTTTGCTTCTTCACTCTTAAGCTAATTCTACGCCACTGAAACCACCTACATGTAGTGTGTGTGGTTTGCCCCTTCCTTCCTATCAAACGTCTATCTTCCTTATCTTTCTTCCCTCTTTTTATGTTTGTTACTTTCTTGTAAAACTTCTAATCTTCTGCAATTTATACGACCTTATTGTACTGCAAGTGCCACCAAACTCTTACTAAAACTAAAACCATCTATCTGTGTCTTGTAGGGCATTACAAGTTCTCATGGAAGAACAAAAGTAGTGGTATATGAGAGTGGTACATGAAAGGGGCTTTTAATTGAAGCCTGTTGTTGTTGTAATCGAGAACAGGACATTGATTTTGTGTTTTTTTGTCCTTCGAGTAATGACTCGCTTAGAGGCTCTAAGAGAAACACAAAGTGTGAATTTGAAACAGAAGTACGCCAAAGCACAATCAAGCGAGCGGACACACACACACACACACACACACACACACACACACACACACACACACACACACACACACACACACACACATACACTTACACACACATCCACACACACACATAGAGAGAGAGAGAGAGAGAGAGAGAGAGAGAGAGAGAGAGAGAGAGAGAGAGAGAGAGAGAGAGAGAGAGAGAGAGAGAGAGAGAGAGGTGCTGCGTCTGTGATTTTATCAATGTACACTTCCCACTTCTGTAACAGTAATGCTGTCTTGCCTGCGACCTGTGTCACACCTGCCCTTGTGCTTTTTTTGTCCGAATGTTTGAGTGAGAAAAGGGTTAATGTAGCCACGTTTCATCTTTTGGACACCTAACTTTCTTGCCCGTTTCTGGTCGTTCTGAGTAATTGGTCGCTTTTAAGGACAAGCGGGCTAACCCAGATTTCGGGGTTTTCCAGAAATCTTCACCCGTACCAAAAGTGACCATTGCCCTACCTATAGGAGAAGTTTGGTTTAATTGGTGTGTGTATTTGTTTGGTTATAGAGAAAACCTGACTTGTCTTTCACAGAAACTGAAAAAGGGGCAAACACTTTACCTTCGATTTTCTCAAAACAGCATTTTTCGGGATAGCACCCTTGTGCTTAAAAGCGACCAATTATAGGTGTACAATAAAGTTCAGGTTGGTAGAATATTGTCCCGTTCTCATAGTTCTGTTCCACGCGTTTGTCCTCTATGCCTGATCAAGACCAAAGTTTTTGTGTGTTGTTAGGCTAGAAGTATTTTTGATAATAGTTTGTGTGTGTTGTCAGGCCAGGAGACCTTTTTATTTGGGTACAGGACGCAACTGGGTCTCTCAGAGTCGTGACCTCATTTCTAATCAGTAAGCGGGTCAAGGTACTGTGAGCCAGACAAGAGTGTAGCGCTAGAGTAAGGGGACGTAGGAAGCTTCTTTTGTGCTCTACATTGTTTTAAGAGGTAGTGATTTTTTAAAATGTGAACTTGTTTGTCTTTTCATGAGCACTTTCTTCCGAAAAGGACTTTACGAGTGTTTGGCTTATACCGTCTCGTTTTCTTCCGAAAAGGGCTTTGTGAATGGTTGGTTTTTATCCTTTATCCAAAGTTTAGGTTCCTTGCTGGGTGTCCCTGATAGGGAGTGCTGTCTCCTATCCAAACTTCAGTGCTTCCTGTCTGTCACATTTCTGTAGATTACTGGTTTGTACTCTAGGTTGGTTGTCTTCAAATTTTTACCAAGAAGATATTGAGGAAATGTGTCCAACATTGTATTTGATCAGACTTTGCGTATATTTGTACCGACTTTAGTATACTATCAATATTGACTGGGAGATGCCTCTGGTAAATTCACTGTCTTTACTATTCCTCTGTTGTACCAGTCTTTTTTTCCTTGCAATGCTGAATAAATATTATTACATCGACGTACTTCTCTTTACTGAAACCTAAATACCACCATCACACCCCCCCCCCCCACCTTAACTGATTTAGATGTGTACTTGTGAATGGAGGAGCAGCACGTTTAGAATACCGTTACATAAGGACTTTGCTCATCAGAGTTCAGTATGACACTGTTCCAAAGCCCAGATTAAATGCATGGGAGAGATTGTGGACTTACGATTTGTCTAACAGAGTTTTTCTTGTCTTTCCATTTCGTTTTGTTCTCTGTAATGCTGTGTTGTTGTTTTTTACCGATTGCGGTGTGTACTGCCATTTTGTTTGTCGCAATGATGACATGTCATTCTTTTGTGTGGTTTCAGGAGGTCCTGTCCATCAGTAGGGACACCTCAAAGTGACACCAGTGATAGTAATGACAGATATCTTGCCTTGACGTCTCAACAAGGTTACACAGAGCTGTGATAGGAGCTAGAGACATATCGAACTATTACATTGGATTTGGTGCTATCCTGCTATTCTGAAAGCGTTTGGACAGCTGCATTTGATTTGTAGCTTTGACCATGTCAGTGACAGCGACCAAGAACAAAGGGATGAAGAAATTTGTCATGGACAACAAGGGTTTCATTGACAATCTGCAGGATCATGAAATCTCCAAGACCTTTGCCTTTGGCAATGTGTGCCAGAACTGCAGTCTGCTTTGTAAGTAGCCTACACTATTTTGGTGCCTTAAAAAAAGGGAAGAAGGATAATTATAATAATAATAATAATAATAATAATAATAATAATGTTGATTATGGTGATAATAATAATAATAATAATAATGATAATGATAATAATAATACTAATAATAATGATAATGATAATGATAATACTAATAATACTACTACTACTAATAATGAGGATGATGATAATAATGATAATATGATTACAATGATTGCATTTATATAGTGCGTTTTTATGCTGTACAGCATGCTCTATGTGCTTTACAGCTATCTTATTATTACCCCAGCAGATCATAGAACACGACTCCCAAACATTTTTGGCTTCTTGGAAAGATTTCAATGCAAGCTGTGGGTTACACACTCTAAAACACTGACAAGCTGACTAAATCTTTCATCATTTATAGCTGGATACCCATTCCTACCTGAATAAAGTGAGGAAAATTCATATAAAGTGCCTTTTTCAAGAATACAATGACAGGCACCAGATGGGATTTGAACCCACAACATTAAGGTTGAGTGTCTGAAAGCCTAACGGCTACACCACCCACTCTGTATTTGAACTCAGTTTTAAAGCACCATTTATAATGTTGCAGTTAGGCTTTGAGTTGCACACAGAAGGTGTCAGTTGGAATCCTGTGTGGGGAATTTTTGTTTTGTTTTGAATCAAGCATCTCCATCTGTCTGTTGGGATGTTGTATCCCACTCAGTCCAGCTTGGCCCTGTCTGACAGAGTTGAAGCAGCCAACCCCGTAAGTGATCAAAATTTTGTCAATGGTCTACAATCTCCGAGTTGGGCACAGGGGATAACCATTGTTATTCATGTTGTCTTAACGACGGACATACTTTTAAGGGTGCCTCACAAGAAAACTAATAAACATGCTTGTCCTGAACTGCCATTTCTGTTTTATGAATAATAAATAATTTTATGAATTAGCAGCAAAGCACACAGCATATCGTAGAGCTTGGGTATGCACAATGTAAATGCTATTATTTTATCATCATCATCATCGTCGTCATCATCATCATCATATTATATTATTATTATTATTATTATTATTATTATTATTATTATTATTATTTTATTTTTATTATTATTATTATTGTTATTTTATGAGGTAGATGATTTTTTTCCTTGCTTGTCAGTGTTTCCATTGTTTACTGTCCTCATTTGTTCTTGCTGAAATTTGGCAGTCATTGTGCTAACTTACCATAAACTGTGACTCATTAATCCCTCAAAATGTACAAAAGACTTGATATGTTGTTTCTTCAAGGTTTCATGGTGTTCTTTTATGGAATATTGTGAAAATGTCTTTGTGGTCCTATTTATCTAATCATTTTATTCGGGTGTCTCAGTCAGTTACTGTTGTGAAGATGGTGGCGTAGTGAAGATTGAGGATGGGTACGGGCATGAAAGGATTTTTATTAAATATGGGCCCAGGTTCACAATTGTCAGGGCAAGGTTCTTGGCTAACCGGATGGGATATTGTGTTCTTGAAAAAATTCTTTACTTTTCTCTCATCACTCTACTAAGCTGCTAATTGGCACTTCAAACTTTTTAGAAAAGCAAGTAGAAAATGATTGTGCTTCGTGCATAATAAACTGTTACTCACCCCCCCCCCCTCCTCCCCCTTTTTGAAAAGATGGTGAGCTTTCAATCTGAAGTGATTCAAGCCTATTTCATGTGACAGTAATTAGCTACAAGTGTTTGTCTTACCTCATTGTGGGGAAATAGCTCCTGTCATGTTGTGCGGGCCAAACATTCCTTCACATTCCTTCAACAGGCGACTATTTTAGTGCGGGTGGCAATCTCAATGCCAGAGACAGCAAAACCGGGGAGACGTTCCTCCACATGCTGTGCAACTACACCCACCTGTACCTGACAGCCAACGGCACCCGCATCATGTACCTCCTGTGCACCAAGCTGGACCCAGACGTCACAGACCTCCGTGGCGACACTGCACTGCACAAAGTTGTGAGGGTCCCGGGAGCCTGGCGCTGCATTGTCGCTTTGTTGAGGTGAGATCTTCCATGACTTAAAGAGAAGGAGCTTAATGATGATAATGTTTTTTGGTCTTTCTTTTTTCGCTAGAAATTTTGGCATCAAATAACAGGACAAAGTACAGGATACGGAAATTTCCGAAAGGGCAAGTGGCGAGAGGTGTCTGTTTTCTTAGCTCAAAAGCACTCGACTTTGCTGGGCTGGCCATATTGTAGGAATGCCTTATTTCAGAATCCAAAGGCAGAATTCTATTTTGAGCTGTCATCAGGGATGCATAAAGTTGGGGTTAAAGGAAAAAAAAGCAATACAACACCTTGAAAATTTCACAAATAGATTTCAACATTAATCCCTTGATATGGGAGAGCCTAGGTCCTGGCAGACCCAGTTGGAAAGCTGCAATTACAGAGGGCAGCAAAAAAGTCGAATGGGACTTCACGAATTAAAACTACTGACGTCAAGAGAGAGGCCCACAAACCGTACTGTTCACATGTGAAAATGAAACTTTTAAATGTTCAAAGTGTTGCAAAGTCTTCTTTGCCAGATTTGTCTCATTGGCCCTGGTAGAAGCCACAAGTCATCTTAATCCTTAGTTCTTACACTTGTATTTATGAAATAATTTCCTCTACGGATGCATTGGTCATCGTCAGACATTGACGGATTAACTATTACTATTGTTGTTGGTTTGTACTTTCCTTTTTTATTTACAGCTTGATTTTTATCTGTCCTTTATGCTTTTGTACTTGCTATGGTTTTTGTGAATGTTCAGATTGGAGGTGTTTAAAAAGTTTTATTTTTGGTACCTTTGAGCATAAAAAGCACATGTATCCTCTGGTCCTTTATGTTGACATGTAAGAGTGCAAATTCCATTAGCACTGGGTTGTTGATCAAGCATCAAAGCGGCTGTGGTGCTGAGCAAAGTTCTTGTCATCAGGACTTGTCTTTTCAAGTTTGTGCAAATCTTTTCAAATGATATGGGACCTCGTATTTTGTCTTTTTGATCTAATTTCTTTAAAGAGGATAAGAAAAGACACTTTGTATTCTCTCTAGGTGTGGCTCTTGCCCCTTGATAAAGAACAATGCTGGACGAACTCCTGAGGATGAGATTCTGCACCTGAAAAACACTGGATGGCAAGAAAATCTGCACTGGTTGAGAAAGTTCAAGCCAGGTATAGTTTTGTGTTACAAGCCTGGTACTATTTTACTCCGCCTTAAAAAAAATTCATATATATGATGTGGTTTTTTTTTTTTTAAACACCAGTTTCTGTGTGGATATTTGTGTGTGTGTGTGTGTGGGGAGAGGGGGGGGGAGGAAATAATGTCACTACACCATGATTTATGCCCTAGCTTATCATTTGACATGCTTTTTAGTGGAATCACATGGCTGTGGGAGTTGCAAGACGTTGCAGTGGAAACAAGATTCGTCTTAGATATCTCGTACTGTTGTGGTTTTGTATGCAAATATAAAAATTGAATGAATTAAGTGCTTCAGAAAGGAAAAAATGATAATGGAGTCACCAAAGTTTAGCCTGTGCTCCTTTCCACAAATGACGTCATTTCAGGCGTGCAGTTTCTTTTGTGAATTTGTAGAGGGGTGTGTCTATGGGTGGGTTTACTTGCCTTGTATTCTGAGCTACAAAGGTATAATTTGTAAAGGATTTCTGAAGTTTTTTATTTTGTGGAGGGTTATAAAGTGAAAACAAAACTTTTTTTCATTGTTGGTGGGTGCACTGTTAGCTCAGCTGATCTCATGCTGAACTATGGACGAGTGGCCTTTGTTCAAATCTCCAACAGGGTGTTCTGAACTTTGGTTGTTATCATGAGTTCTGAAAGCTCTGCACCCATTTGGTTTGGTCTCATTGGAGACTGATGTGAAATTTAGAGGCCCTCACCTCTTAGATAATCTTACAATGTTGAAAAGGGTGTTTGAAAAACCTATACACTGACACTGACAAAACTGTGTTGGTATAGTGCATCGACTAAAATAATAAATGATAATAATAATAAATGACACTTATATAGCGCTCAACCCCGATTAAAGTACACAGGCTCTGAGCGCTTTACAATACAATACAACGTACAACAGTTACATAAACGTTGTGTTACGGAAAGAAAATCTCTCCAAATATTCATCTTATTAATTTAGAAATAGAAATGACTTCAGCTGACATTTGAATGAATCAAAAGATTTAGTCTCTGTTAAAGTTCTTGGCAAAGCATTCCAGATCTTGGGGCCTTGATATTAAAATGCTCTTTCACCCATAGTTTTAAGTTTCATAGATGGTAAAAGAGGTTTAGCAGAGTCTCGCTTTCTTTTCCGTAAAACTAAAGGTGCAGCATTGTTTTGGACAGCTTGAAGTCTTTTAACTTTCTCTAGTGATATTCCTGATAACAAAGAGTTACAATAATCGTGTTTTGATAAAACTAAGCCTGTTATTAGTAAAGCAGTATCCTTAGTATTGATTAGATGACATATTTTACTAATTTTCTTATTTCTAAATAACTGCAACTGATCAGATGATTTACCTCAGCCGACATTAACAAACTGGAATAGAAATAGATGTCAAGATTTTTAATCTTTCTGGAAAATGCAATTTCTGTATCACCAATTGTCATGTGATCATGGTCAACCTCTTTAACGGACTTTGCACTGCCTGCCAGAATGACTTCTGTTTTATCATCTTTCAACATCAAAAGAAATATTACTCTTGAAGTTGTGAGAGGTATTTGAGGGGGAAATATATACTATCTTTACTGGTGAGAAAACTGCGAGTGATGGACAGAAAGTGAAGTTTGAAAAAGAGGAAAAGGGGGTAGAAAAAGATATTGTATCTTTATAAAATGTTTAAGCACCAATGTTTCCAGTTTAAAAAATAAAAAAATAAAAAATATGTATGTATATATATGTGGGAAATGACATGTGTGAGTCAGTGTTGTATACCATGTGAAAAGATAAGGTTATTTCTAGGCTCGGTCTGTATCTGTCTTCCTTTCCTCTTTGCTTGCTGTCTCTCCCCTTCTCCCCCTCTCCTTTCTTTATTTTTCCTTGCCTTTTGATGATTCTCTATTCTCTCCCCCCCCCCAACCTTCTATAATATATATCTCTCCACTTATCTCATTCTTCTCTTTGTGAGCCCTTCCCCACCCCACCCCTCCCCCTCTCTCTCTCTCTCTCTCTCTCTCTCTCTCTCTCTCTCTCTCCTCCCCCTCTGGTATCTACATCACATCCATGCCCTTTCCTTTCCTCTTCCTCCACTATCTCGCCTTTCTTTTTCCCCGCCCTCGACGCGTCCTTTTGTCTTATGTCCTCTGCCGTCCTTCCTCCCTTTCCCCTGTCTGACAGTCGGTTCTTTCCCGCGATTTCGTCTCCCGCCCTGTCACCAACCCTTTGGAGGGGGGTGGGTTTCCCCGGCCCTCTCCTCTTTTAAAAAATCTCTTTTCCTGTTTTTCCCACCAAAAAGAAAAAAATTTCTATTTGTGGCTCCAATTGGGGGGGTAAAATTTTTTTCCTTTCAAAGGGTGCACACCGGGGAAAACCCCCTCATAAGGATCTCCCTTTTTTCTAAAATGCAAAAAAGGATGGGGGGGGGGGGGGGGGGGGAAGGGTAGCATCAAGTAAAGTTAAGTATTTAGTTATGTGTTCTTTTTTTTTACTTTTACCATTTGCTGAAAAAAAAAATCATGGGAAAGAGTCAATGATCTCAGGTGCTTATTGGTGAAGACAGGTTTTTAGAATTCATTTATGCCTATGCTTATAGAAAAAAATAACAATTGTGTTGAGGGTGGTTGAAAGGGTGCCTGTGTTGAGTCTTTTTTTTTTTTTTCAGATGAAACATCCCACGATTGCTTTTGTGTGACTACTTTTATGCTATTGGGCTTATTTTTAACTTGAACAGTTTTGATATGCTTTCTTTATTTGTTAAGGCCTTTGGGCAGCTGTGAAGAGTCAGAATCCGGACCCGGTGCTGATTGAGCGACTCCTGCGCTATTGGTGCCGCACCACCAAGATCATTGGCAAGGAGACCGTCAATCTGAAAGTAAGGGTGTCTTTTGAAAAAAAATTAATCAATGTGAAAGTTGGGACTTACTTTGTTTAGTCAGTCTGATTGTAAGGGTTTCTCTTGTATCTTCAATCTGAAGGTAGGTGCCTGGGTTGTTGTTTTTGTATGATCAGTCTGAAAGTAAGGGTTTCTTGTGGTTAATCAATCTGAAAATAAGGACTTCTTCTGTGAAGTGGAACTAAAAGTAAACCTTTCTTTTGTATACCCTCCTTGTTTACCCCAGGGAAGCTTGTTAGTCTTTGGGGAACAGGCTTGGCTTTTTGCTCCCTTTGTGGCTTGTTTGAGCATGGGTTCTTGCTGGTTAGGTTGGTGGGAAACCTTTGGTTGCATCTTAGTGCCACTTACGGCTTATCTCATGGTAAACAATTGTGCTTTATTTGTCATTTGAAAAAAATGCTGCTGGACGCTGTTCTCATAGCTGCTCAGTCACATATGTTTGTACCTTTTGATTTGTTTTGTCTGTCAGGAGAAAGCCAAGACATGTGGCTTCCCTTTTGGGTTGGAGGTCAGTATTTACTGACAGCAGAAGGGCTACTTAGAGTCACAAGTTGATATTTAGCTTGGATGTGAGGAGAAAAGATGTTCAATTGTTTTGTGTGATTTATGTGCTACTCTTTGCTTTGCAGTGCCTGGTTCACATGTGTGAGACCCAGCTTGACACAGTGCTCATCCTGGAGAAATATGAGAACACCAATGAGATGGCACTGGCCATGCTGAGTGGCAAGACACACTTCATCGATATGTGGAAATTGGCAGGTGAGGCCAGTGCATTTGATGAGAGCCTGGTTTTAGTAGGGACAACAATTTTCTTTTCCTCTGTTCGTAGTTGGAGGTTTGGTTCACTAGTTCTTACTTCTTTACTGTCTGTTGTTGTTTCTGTCTGTTTTCCTTTTTCTCCGTACCAAATGACTGTTGCCTTGTCAGTACAGAATCTTTAACTCCAAACAGTATTCTTTTTTTGTGACAGATTCTTTTTATAGTCAGTAGTATAGGGTTTGGTAAACTTAAGTAGCCACTAGCCATTGCTGTTATTCCTTTGGTGACTCTTTAGATGTGTCAAATAATCAAGTTCATGGTGGAGTGACTAGTGGTGTGGGAGGATCTTGGTTGGTCCTACATTTTCCTTTTTAGTGTGTGGGTTGTTTTAAAAAAAATTTCCATCTTGCTTTTTGTTTTCACATTAATTTTAATGGGAATCAGTTTCAAGATGACTAACATTATTCATAACAGTTTGCTGATGCAGGTTGTGGGTCCCTGTTGCGATGTGGCCTCTTCATTTTCCTTTTTTCGGTATTGCTGTCTTTCAAATTTACTATGACAACATTTGAACATTGTATCCTATTATTTTTGCTACAGAAAATCTCCAGAAAGTGGATATTAATACCAAGGACCACTCGTACCAATTCTACTACAGAGACTACCCGACGGCCCCCCGCCCCCTCATGGCAGCGGTGTGGGAGATTGACCAGCTGGAACTGATTCAGTCGTTTATGGAGCTCCATCCAGACACTTCCATCAAGTACACCTTTGAGTCGGAGGCCACCAGTCCTCCAAAACCTCTCTTCTTCCAGGTAGCTCGGGTGGTTTGGGGGTTTATAGTAATATAATAATGATAGGTTGCACTTATACAGGTAGCTTTGGTTGTTTTGTGGTTTATAGTAATATAGTAATGATAGATAGATTACACTTGTATAACAAGTATCACTATTTAAAAGTTTTCTCTAGCACCCTTTACAATTTTTTATGACTATGGCAGACCCTATGATATTATGAAACATTCTCAGCCCCCCCCCATTGGTGCCCTCTAATTTATATAAATCAGTGACACCATTTTAGTACTGTGAGAGTCATATATATTTCACCTAAAAAAATGAACAGTAAAAATTGTAGTGAATTAACACAATGGTACCCAAGACTCAGGGTACAAAATCAGAGACCCTCACTTTAGACTTGAGACAAAACAGTACTCTTAATTAAATAAATACTTTGTCAAGATAGACATTGTGAGAAAGAGTTCAGTCTGTTCATGAGGGCAAAGGATGCTGCTGAAAAAGACAAAGGTGTTTGCAGTTGTTTGTTTTCACCTTGGTGATTAGAGAGGGTTGTCATGAGCTCAATATTTCCTACTGGAAGTTTTATGAACAGTATCATATTATGCTCAAAATGTGGCCAACTTTTCTCTGCCAGAATTGATCTCATAGGCCATAGCAGTAAATGATCTTAATCCTTGTTTCTTCTATTTGTCTTTTAAGAAATATTCTCCTCTCCAAATGCGTTAGTGAATGTCTGACATTGATAGCGAAGCTATTATAATGATAATAATAATAATAATAATAATAGTAATAATAATAATAACAACAACAATATAATAATAATATTAATAATAATAATAATAATAATGATATTATGTACAGTATGCCTTTACTTAATCTATATACTGAGTCTGTGGCATATTGGCTTAATGTGTACCCCCACCCTTTTTTGTTAAATTTCAGCTGGTCAATCCAAAGTCAAGACCACAGAATGAAGCTATCACATCACTGATCCTGAGAGATGCAGACCTAAACATTCGTAATACCCAGGGCCAGACTGTGCTGATGGAGGCCATGTACAATGGTGAGACAGAAGGCATCATCAGAGCTATCCTCAACTCAGGGGTCAATGTGGCAGCCCGGGATTCCAATGGAAGAACAGCCAGGGACCACAGCATCTTACTCAAAAGGAATGACTACAGGTCAGTGATGGTAATAAGTCTTTGACCAAAACATGTCGGAAATAATTGTTTTTGTGGAAAATGCACCATTCAGCAGCTATCTGCCAAAAAACATTTTTTCGTAAAAGTCACAGTGGTATTGTACTGGCTGCAGTGTGTGATCATTTTTCTTGCTTTTGAGTTGCTGGAAGTAACTAAAGCAAATTTAAAACAAATTACAAGTTTGTACATTGTTTCCATGCTTAGGCCCATGCGTTTTTCTATTAGGACTTGATCCCTTGTGTTTTTTTGCAGAATGCCCTTTGTTGTTATAAAATGAAATTATATGGGTGGAAACCTAATAGATGATATTCAATAATCTGAAAAAACCCTGGTGGAATGGATTGCTGTGAAGATGGAAAGGAGTTACAGTTGGACACAGCTGAATTCCTGCTTTCTGGGGGCTTGTCTGTTTACTGGTGAACAAATCAGGGCAACAAAGTGAAACATTTTAAAATTACAGTTTTTAGCTACTTTAGGATTACCGTGAACTTTGACAAATTTCTGTTCTTATTGTAAAACTGGGATGATTTTGTGCTGTTTGTTGTTAAAGGGAAAATTATGTAGCTTTCAAAAGGTGTCTACCTTAATATTGGCACGGACAGCTGTGATAATCGGTCATTTTTATTTTGGTAAAGTACAGTAGAAATTGTCCAATACCCTTTGTTGAGGAGAAAAGTGGTTGTTTTAGACAGGTGGGCATCTGAGACAGTGTCATCATAATGTAGAAAGAAACACAAGAGAGGAAGTGGGAAGTGGTTGTTTGTGCAGACGATTGTCCTGGTCAGATGGCTGTTAGTGCATGTTTGACTGTAGTAGGTTTTTGTTTGATTTTTCTCTCCACTTTCTACCCTGGATTTAATACTTTTTAGACAAAGCCTGCCACATGTTGTGCTGAAATGTTTGTACTCACGTCTGAACTTGCGCTAACTCCTCTCATCCTCGGTTTTCTATTTCCTGCCCAACGGGATACAGAGAACTGATAGACAGCCACATCATCGAGATGGTTCAGGACTGTGACATTCTTCGCCTGGAGGCTCTGGTGCTGCAACTCTATGAGCACGTGGCCCCTGTCTGTGCCCGCCACCAGCTGCTCTGCATCGCCAGACAGAAGTGTTCCAAGCAGCTTCACGAGCTTCTCAAGAATGCAGCTGGCACTCAGGTGATTATGACATGAGAAGGGAAACTGGTGATAATAATAACTGCATTTACATAGTGCATTTCCATACTCTACAGCAAGCTCAATGAGCTTTTAATTACAACGATTACAATTTGAACTAGTTCGTTCAATGTTGCTGATATTCAGTGCCTAGATGATGATGAAAGTAAGGTTTTTGGAGCTATAGTTTTTACTTGTGCAGGTCAATCAGAAATCTTTGCTTGTTTTGAAGTGAAAGTTGATGATTAGGTGTGACTAGAGAGATATCTTAATGGTATAGAAGGCAATGATAAAAACTATTTTTATATATAATGTCAACATTGAGTTGGCTCAGAAGGTGGATGAAGTTACAGGTTCATGAACACTTGTGTGTAGTTGTCAATAGTTGAAATATTTTCTATGTAAATTCTTATTTTCGTATCTAATGTTGTTTTGACTTTGTTCCGCTTACTGTCTGTTGTTCTGATGTTGTTGCTGTGTCTTTCCAGAGATTTGAGACATGGGGCTTTTTAGTTTTTAATCCTGTGCCTGTTGGTTTTAAAAATTCTAATTGTTGTCATACGGGCCTGCTTGTTGTGAAGACCTGGGGATCTTTTTGGCAGGGTCAGTCAAATGTCTTTCCAGATGATTGTAGGTCATCATTGGGGGCCACTTCTGTTTTTCCCCACTGTTGGTTCTGTCTGTCTTATTTTTCCTTGCAAGAAATGACCATTATAGTGTGGACGTGCTTCTTTGTACGCAAACTCAATTTTCCTTGTTTTTTTTTTTTAATTCACCGCGCAGGCTGTGGTGAAAAAGCTTTTCAGCTTTGTCAAGTCAGGGAACAAAGTACAGCTGATGAGACAGATGACTCGAAAGTACGCCAACGCACGAGACAAGGCGGGCCGCTCTCTGCTACACTTTGCCATCCAGCACAGTCTGACAGACAGCTCAGGGAAGACACAGCAGCTGCCGCCCAGAGGGCTCCCCACAGTAAGAGGGGATGTCATAATGGATGACATCTCAGTGCGCGGCGTGGCGATTGAATCCCTGGAGGACCCCACCCACAACAGTGACACCACACAACTTCACGGCAGAGGATACCGCTGTCGGGTTCTGGACAGCGTGAAGAAAGAATGTAATCGTTTCAAAAAGAACCGCTGTCTGTTCTCCAAGTGCATGAACCAAGACAACTTTACCCCTGACCATGTTGGAGTCATCAAATATCTTGTGCAAGAGTTTCCTTTTATGCTTGGACACAGCAACAATGTAAGTTATCTATAACTTTTACATTGCCTTGGTTGCTGTACCAAATTTTGACATAACTAGCTGGGCCCTCTTTCGATGAAAGGGATGATCGGTGCTTTAATATCAGCTAAAAGTCATTGGCCTACTATATTTACACTCTACTGGAATGGGGAAATGAATATTGAGAGATGCAAAAAATTACGTCTAGATCTATACTCTCAAAACAAAATGCGCCTCGCGAAATATCACTTCCGGATTTTCTAAAATTACAGAAACAGAAGCGTCGGCCTTCAAAAGCGATCGGCAAAATAAAGAAATTTAGCTTTTTGCAGCACAACTGTCTCAAAACTGAAAAAACCAAGGGCACCATGATCTGGAGAATATTTTAAAGAATTTTTTGGCGAAAACCGCATGTCGATCGATGCAGCCATTAAAAAGCCTTTTGAATAGCAAAATTCGGCCACCAAAAATAGATAATAGATATTTCTGACATTGAGTTAAGAGCATTTTTCAAATATGTAATTAAGGGTGTCCTTTAAGTCTGGACACATAGACAAAATGTATGTTTTCAAGAAATGCACATTGGATGTTCAACAACATTTGGAATTCATCTACTTGAGTCCTTCCACCCAATTCTTAAAATAAGGCAAAAGCATCTTCTGCACATGATGTCATGGCAACTTAAATGTGACCCCACAGATAATGTATGCGCATCGTAGGCCAAGCAAGCTTCCAATGGAGGGCTCAAGAAGATTTTTACTCAACTCTTTGTTCTTTTGGAATATAAACAAATGACATCTTCAGTATAATTTCCACCATTTGTGCAGCAAAGATCAATGTGCTTTACAAGTTTAATGTTAATCAATGCTATAATTCCATGCTTCTGTCAATTACAGTGAGTGAGATTTCTTATGTATTCAGACTTTTGGGACACTCTGTAGACTGTAAAGAACTTGATTGTCACAATGAAGGATCAAGCTGATTAGTGTTGTGCAAAATATTTTGGGGGACTTCTCTTCCAGAAGATTTGGTATTCCTCTCTGTGGACTGGAAATGCTCTCAGATCAAAGATGATTCCAATAGGGAACAGGATAGCGAGTGCCCACATCCCTTGTAACTCATCGGAGCAGAGGAAGATAGGACTAACGCTAACCTAAAAAGAACCAACTCAACTAACAGAAGCATGTCTTCTCAATAATTATTTACATAAACATCATCTCACATCATCACTATCACCACCATCATATTTTTGAAATCATCTTTGCTCTCAGATCCTTGACATACATCTATAATTACCTTGAATATCTATCTGTAACAATTACATGTTATAACAATTATATTTGTTACACACTATTGCACACTATCATACACTCATTTTTCTACTAATCAGATGGCGTCAATCTAATAGGGGGGGGGGGGGGTGCGCTCAGCCATTGTCTTTTCTCAGGCTTGTACTTTTAATATCGACATCATGTGAAATATCTCTTAAATTCCACCTTGTTCATCCTGTTGCTGAGAAGTAACAACGCGCTTCTAGACTTCGTTCTTTAAACCTTTTGATGTGCTTCCAATGTTCGACTATTTTTACAAGTTGTCATTTCACTTTAGCGTGCTCTATCCTATTATCTTAAGTACAGGTGTGTGAGAGAGATTCATAACTTGAGTATGTACCTCGACTGTGGTTTATTTTTGTTGCAAGCTTCTTTCCTTCATTGTTACTGTCAACAGCTGTAAGAAAAATTTCCTCATTTGGATACTGAAGTCTCATCACATTATCTTGTCTTATGTTCACAGCTTGGACAGACTCCCTTGCACTATGCCTACATCTACACTGCCAACCAAGAGGTCTTGGATTTGTTGAAAACCACTGGATCTTGTGAGCACATCAAAGATGTGGTATGTATTTTTTGCTTTTGTTGGATAAGTCTGGCCACCTCAATTGTTTCTTCTGTCTACACTTGCTATGACTGGGTTCTGGTGGTGGGTAGGAATATTTTGAGGGGGGAGGTGTTCCTGATATGTTAATGATAACATCAGTGAGATGACATGAGTACATATTTCTTGACCAGTACTTCTTCAGGCTTTTTGCTCTGTTCTTTAAGGGTTTACCAGATTTATAGAAAAATGTTGCTGCCCTGATATGTACCTCATACTTTTTATAGGGATCCTTCCCTTCTCTCCAGTGCTGACACGTAAGTGATTGCATATTTCGTATGCTGAGTTTGCTCAACTTCTTTGCTATGTTGATGTGCGGTGGATTCCAACAATAATACTTCTCTGGGGCATTGTGAGTTGATCGAATGAAAGGCTGTCAGCTTTGACTTGGTTCCACTCCTGAGCCTTTCAGGGCTTGTTAGCCCATTGGAGATGTTCGTGTTTGTAGCTTTGCACGAATGGAAAGCACAGTACAGATTTGATTATTTTGAATATTTCTTACTCACTGCTAATATTAGTCCCCATTCTAAGAATGGAACAATATCTAATTAACTTTGAAGAGATTGCAAACTGTATAAAAATATTTTGGTCTTTATTGTCCTAAATTTATACAATTTTTCATTTTCCCTTCTCTCTGTCATCCATCTGGTCCACTTGTTTTTATCATTCTCTGTGTTTCTATCTTCTTCCTTCTCCCTGTTTCAGTCTTCAGTCTGAATTTCAAGAAGAAAAAATCTTTTCCTGCAGAGAATCGAGCACATTGGGTGTCTGATTAGTTTTTGAAAAAGTTGGCAAGCCTGTAAATATAAGGTATTCTATCACTAAAATTTACATTATGTTCCTTTATGTTAAGATTATTATGAGTTACAATTACAATAGTAGTATTTCCAGCAATGATTTGTGTAAGTAATATAAACTGACAGGACATATCTCATTCAGTCAAGGGTTCGGTTGTCTCAGTCAAGAAGTTATTGGTTCTCAGAACTCAAACCATATCTTAAATTCACTGTTGCATTCTTTTTTTACCCACACTTTGCTTGTAGCATCAAGTAACTTTTCTTATGGCATACAAGACTTTGCTCAAAGTTCACTTCGTTTTCGAAAGGGTTATAACTATCTGGTTTATGGGTTTGTCAAGTTACAGAACTACCCTACACAGAAGGAATTAATTTGGAAACCATCTCTCCGACAAGTTTCTTCCTGAAGTCCCTGTGACAGAGAGGATATGAACTTGATCTGAAGACAGAAAGCATATGATAACACCCATTTTGAGAGACCCATCTTGGTTTTCCTTTGAAAAGTGAATTATTTTTAAGATTGCCTAGCTCCATGTGTTTTAAATTTATCAACAACAGAACACCTCAGGTTCTAATAGATCTGTTTAAGTCAACCTTCCTCCCAAAATGCTCAGATCTTCAACCACCCCCTGGGGCGGTGCCACTGACTGAAGTGTCTTTAGGCCATTCCCAAAGGGGGGATATTTCTCGTTCTAATGCACAGTAGAATTGTAAATGGGCTGATCCAACAATGTCATGCTCATAACTGTGCCTGAACTACAACAGGGAACTGCTGCCTTTTCTTTCCTTATCCTTACTATTGTCATTTTCTTCTACTTCTTCTTTTGTATGTTTGTCACACTCTTGTGACCCGCTATTTCAGGGGTGCCTTGATAGTTGAAGCAGACTTTGTGCTGTTGAAGCTAGAGAGGTGAGCAGAGTAAGTCTGATTCCCTGTAAGGACTTCTCTGTTGACATCAACCCCTTGGCACTCATATGACCTTATGCAGTTGCGAGCGTTGTACGGATACATATATAATGTTCATTTCAAGCAGGAAAAAAAGACAGACAAACAGAAACAACTGAGGGAAAGAAAAAAAGTAGTAGGAGCTACCAAAGGTCTCACCAACCATACAAGTCGCAGTGTATTTATTTGGAACTGTTTAACACAGAAAGAAAATACAGACAATTTAGTGTTAAAAAAACAAAGAAAAAAAGGAAATCATCAAGTTCTTTTCTCAATGACATAAACAATCACACAAAGCTAACACAACAAGTAGCAAGGTAATTATTCATAAAATGTCTGTTTAGAAAAGCCAGGCTCACCAACATTATTACAAATTTAAAAAAAAAAAATTACAGCACAAGTAGATGTTTCATTAACTATTACAATCATTGTTTTCACCATACTTGTCTACTTGTAAAGACCGTCACTGTAAAAAATTGGACAGACAGTGGCCAAAAACAGATAAACACATAAATAAAAAAGGGCTTTTAGACCTCAGATGTTCGCATATTCCCCTTTGATTTGGGTAGCTTACAAGTACAAGAAAATACTTGCTTGTCACATTTATAAATGTTAAACATAGGTGCTTAGATAAAAGTAAATAGATAAACAAAGAAAACATATCATACAACAAGCAATCACCTTAGCAATATTCTCCTCACATCCTCTGCAGCGACTTTTACCAGATTTAGCGTATTCAGTATTGGCATCTTCAGTCGATGCAGCACCACCATCATCTCCTCCCCCTCCTGTAGGAACAAATACACATTTTTAACAGCTTACATATACCCAGTCAACACTGACACTGACAAAATATGTGTATCATTGGGTTTTTTTTTCCAAATGAAACATTCATAGAAAAACAATAGCTCTCAAAGTTTCAGTGCTGGTGGGCATCTTTAAGCATTTTGGGAGGGGATCTAGAGCGTGGTGTAAGATAATGAGAGGGCTTCAGAATATAATTTTCATACAGATCCTGGAAATTTGTCTTGCAATGACAGCCTCGTGTCAAGAAATTATGGTGAAAAGGCTTCAGAACATAATTCGGATACAAATCCGAACATTTAGCCCGGCCTGTCAAAGAAAACACAGCTTAAGAATGAGATCCCACCCATCGTGGGACTGGGATGAAATAATAATCAAGAGAGAAAACAACTCAAATTATCCACTGATCATGGGTGCATGAACAAGCAATGAGACCAGATACTTTGTTTAAGGGGGGGGGGCTACACTTCCGATTCAACTCAAAATTAACGATTATGAGTTATAGGCATTTTTAGCTTCTTCCGCCTTTGTTTAACTCCCCCATTTTTCATCCGATCATAAAATTTCAAATTTGTCTGTTGAATTTTTTATATATGGAATAGTTTGTTGGCGGTGTCTGGAGTCTGGATTTTCACACAGGGTCCTCACCAAATCCTGGAAATTTTTTTCAAGACCCCCAAATTTTTCTCAAGACCCCAATTCAAGGGAAAAAAATAAGGCCGCTGCCCGTCAAGAATGATCCCCAAAAAGCCCATCTATCAATGATAAAAAGTCAAAATGTCTTTAAATCAATGCAAATGTACATTTTGTAGTATAGTCTTCAAACAATAGATGATTATAATGCTGGGTGACTGCCAACCCAGCTTCTCAACTCTCCAAGGGAGGGGCCTCATCCACTTTTCAGGGGCAAGTTACATAACAATGACAGCATGTGCTCCATTTATATATGTATATGTTTGTGAATACACACACATACACACATGTAGGTACACTATATCCAGTCAACAACATGTCAGTGTGGCACTGGGATCTTGTGTGACTTTGGTATTTCAGTCTGTTCTTACTTATTCATATTTTCCCCTCATTATATTAGCCTACATAAACTATAGGCCCTATTTTAAAAATGAATCCTGTTTTGAGCATGAGAAAAGACCTAGAACTACATAGAATATCGACTGTCGATAACTAGTCTGGGTGTCATGATTCATAATATAATAAACGTGAAGACGAAAAGTATTGCTCAAACTCAAAGTAGAGTAAAATAAGCGAAATAACTTGAATGGCACAAGTAGACCTATTCAGTGCGAGAGGTGTAAGAACTGAGGAGGGGGGGGGGCAAGATGCAGTAACACTGAAAATCTGCCAATCTTGAACAGAAAACAGAAAGCTAAAATATAGAGATCAATCACCCCATCCGATGAAACGCGAACACTTTAGTTCAATAAAAAGGCATGACGGATCCCGATTCCACACAAGGCCTTCACCAATGC